CTTGTAAACTATATTATCAGAACGCATCTTAATCTACCACACAATAGGACACTGACCAACAATGGATATACACAGAGACGATCCTATTTTCTATTATAACAAAGTATGCATGCTTTTACTAGTAGAGAACTGGATTTATTAGACTAATAAATCCAGCTCTCTACTTACATTTTTGTGACAAATTGATCCAGAGCATTGCTTGGCAAGGAACCTTTTATGTTGCCAAGTTTCATTCAAATATCATAACTTTGGGAGAACATATGACTGATAGTCTTTGTAAATCTGTAAATAACGCCACTTTCTTTACCTGTTAATTTCTTTACAAATCAAAAAGTATGACAGATATTAAAAATCTGACAGCATGACTAGATTCTGCATTAAAAAATGTTCTAGACTGCCAAGTTTCATTTACATATTCCAAGAAATAGGCGAGCTATGACAAATGTCTCAAAACGCACAGAAAACCGCCACATTTTTATCTATAAACGTCTTCATAACTCAAAAAATAGGATAGCTATGAAAAATCTGAAAGCAGGACTAGATTCTGCACTAGAAAATGTACTGGGTTGCCAAGTTTCTTTTAAATACACCGAGAAATGTGCGAGTTATGACGAATATTGTCTCAAAACTAACCAAAGAACGTCCCATATTTTGGGTTTTTTTAATTATATAAAAGTGTACCAAAAATTAATTTATTAAAAAATCCGTAACTTTTTTGTTTATTGATGGATTTCAAAAATTCAAAAAGTTCCATTCTCTGTGAAGATAAAGCTACAAAATGCTCCTGTTTGCAAACACTTTCTGTCAAAAAAAAGTTTTTTTCGTGGTCATTGCTAAATTTATTAAAAATCGTTGATATTGTTAAACCCCTACAGACCAAAGAACAACACTAAGAAACATTCTTTGCTTTATGCGAAACTTACAGTGCAAACAAATGAAGCCCTCAAACACTAAAAGCTGACAAGGTTTCTCGCTGTCTCCAGCTGGCTACTAATTCCTGCCTGGATGAAGTGAGGAAAATTTCCCAAGGCCACAACATCGGACCCCTGGTAGGGTTTGAACCCATGACCTTTTGGTTGCAAACCCAACAGCCTAACCCCTAGACCACCACCAATGCTACAACAAATCCTACAAATGTGAATAAAATGAGCAGATTTATAAAGGAATATTGCCCAACATGCAAGTTTCCTATAGTATCAAACAAAATCAAGCAAGCAGTTGGTTGATATTGTTCTATTTTATTTGTTTCCAATTTTACTATCACTCCTGCACGAAAATGAAGCACATTTGCCAAACTCCAAGCCTTTGTCGAACGTATACATATATATGATATATATAGACCACTGTCTTCGTCTTTAATCAATGATTTTCAAGAAAATTTCAACCTTCTAAGGCCTAATAATAATTGTGCAAAACATCAAACTTTGACCAAAAAAAAATACATGAGGGCATGCCCTGTTAAAAAAAAAAAAATTCATGTCCCTCTGAATTCCCCCCCAATGTCAAAAGATGCATGAAATATTACTAGGCAATTAAGCCCTAGTGTGATGTATTAATTTGTTAAATAACACCATCAAATATCTTTAGAGAAAAACAACAAATAATTTGTGTTGAAATTTGTGCACACATGATGGAAAGTGCTATACCTGAGCAAACCAAGATATTGAATAGATAAAGACTAATTTTTAAAACATTATTCATTCAGTACAGTGCAGTTACTAACTGTACTAAAAGTTTTACAGTGCGTACTCAACGTGTATTAAGTACTATTAGTGCAGTAGGCCTAACTTAAATAGTTAACATTTGGTCGTTGTTTCTGGACACTACCTCTACTTGTCTTTTGCTTCATTATATTGTCTGCTCTGCTATCTTGTTTTGATCACAATCACAGACTAACACAAATTTTGACGTATAGCAGTACCCAGTTTTAACCTTTTATTGTTCGCTTTTACTCCTCCTTGCGTTTTAATTTTGGGATACCACTGATTGTAATTGTTGGTGAGAAAACTGTGGGAGACTATCTAGGCCATTCATTAAAAAAATATAAACATGGCTTTAATTTAGACAACTTTTGATTCCTCATGGTAGATTTGAAAGGCACTTTTCAACAAGAGGAAGGGCCTTTTACTGCTTCTAAAATTAGCATACTTACAGCCTACAGCACAGTCCCACTTTCTAAATATAAGATCTCCATCATCATTTCTGACCTGTCAAGACAAATTGTTGTTAGGCCTACTTGTTCCAAGTCAAAATTGGGAATGAACTGGTGAATTGTATCAACCGTTATTCAGTTCCTCCCCAACAAGGCTGTTTTATTTTGAAATAAGACAAGGTGGGTGGCATAGTATGCACTTTTGAAAGTTCAGTGTTTACTGTTAAATTATAAATGCAATTGCAAGATATCTGATTTATTTTCAGGTCGAACGACTGTGTGAAAGGGTTTCGTCTTCCACTTTGCTAGATGACCGACGGGATGCGGTTAGGGCTTTGAAAGCTTTGTCAAAGGTTTGTGAGGAAAACAGGTTTTATTTGATGCCAGGTTTTATAATGTGTGAGAGTCTTGTCAATGAACTCATTGTAAAATCATTGTTATTGAATATTGGCCAGTTCCTATTGTATTTGAATCTTTAAAGTTATTTTGTTCCTTCCAACGGCAACAATGTTAATTATTTGAATTTATATTTCTTATAGCAAGTGCTGTATGAAACTATTTATTATAAATGATTACAACAGCCTTCTATCTATCTATATTATAAGAGACCAGTTTCGTCTTATTATTTTTGCTTTGCATATAGCTGGAAATGGGGAAAAAGAAAGACCCTTATTAAAGAAAGAAAAGTACATTTTGCCCGTGGTATTTTGAAAGCTTGCAAATACAAATGAGTCCGCTTATTTATACAAACATGGTTAATCCAAAAATAGCGGAAAACTAAAGAAAATGCAAATGCGGATTTTTTTCCCCTTCCATTTGAGCAATCTCTCTAAACCGACAACGGGGCTAATTGGGACAAAATTCCAGTGGTCCTGCAGATAGATTTTGGTTTGAGTGGACTACATCTTCAGGCTCAGCATGTTTTTAAGCCTCCAAAATATTTGATCATGTATATGAAAGGCCATTAGTGCTGTTATCATGTGTAAGTAAGCCTGTTATTTTATGATTATATGCAGTCAAAGTTAATGGACTCTGATATGACGGCTTCATATATTAATGTTGAAAAGTGTGTGTATATTCTTGATATAATTTCTTTGCATGTACTTAAGTTATTATAAGACTGAATTTGAATTCATTATTCATTATTTTCTTTTTCAGAAATTCAGATTGGAGGTGGGCACACAGGCAATGGACATACTGATTAATGTTCTGGAGCAAGACAGGTACATTTTTCTAAAAAAGCCCTAAAATATCTTATTTCTCAATTTTGTTCACTGTTGATTGCAACTGGTTACGAGGTTATGAATAACAAAATAATGAGAAGAAGACTGTTACTGTTAATAAGACTGGTGTCCCCCACCCCTTCATTTCTTAAATTCCCTATCTCCACAAGCTGCTCCGAGTGGATTGTGGTCGGAACTGTTGCGCTGTTGATCCAGTGGCAGTGGCTCAGTCACATTCCTTTACGATGACAATGGCATTATGTTCATTTTCAGCAGTTGGTGAAAGGAGGTCAATCTTTGCAGGAGTTATTCATTTGATGAAGAACTATCAATGTAGGTTTGTATTGAAAGATTTAATAACCAATGTAGTGACGCTTTTTTCACTTCATGGTTTTGTACCAAAAGGGGGCTCAGGCATAATGGGAAAACCCCCTCTGGAGATATAGGTCAATTCACTAAGGGAAGTAGATAAAAGCATTTCATAGCGTTTGGTTTGTAATTTAAATGACAATTCCTAACACCTGTCAGAGAATATTTCATGTGTTTGTCTTCTGTAATGTTACATGTGTCTGCAGTGTTATTTTTGGGGGAAAAAAAGTACAGCCACTTAAAGTGAAACCGCTTGTCATTTTATCCTCAGAAATGATGCAGAGATCACTGGCTTCACATTGGACACACTTTATCATGTTATGTCAAATGAACCAACAGATGAAGGTAAGTGACGGTAAAATAAAGATAACGGGAGTTGGAAATTTATGAGCATTGATAAGGTTGAAGCGTTTCATTTCTGGTATGCTAATCACAACATTTAAAGTACTCTTTGTAAGTGTGTTAAGCAGGTTCATGCTTTTGAAAGTTTTGTTTTTTTACTCCTATTTTTAATGTGCTCTTATTCTATTGGTCGAAAGTTGTCTTTTTTAAGAATGAAAAGATATATGTTGAGTTGGGTAGGTAAACTTTGCATTTTCATTTTTACAGCATGAGGCTTTTTCTTCCGTGTTTTTTTCAAGAAAATTGTAACAAATAATTAGTTGCTGTTGTTACCATTTGATGGTGGTAATGAGTATTTTGTAAGGGTAGGGAAAGACCTGTCTGCATTATTTATTTTACTTACATTACTTCACTATCTGTACGTCGTGTTTTACTATCGCATCCATACGATGTGGGGGGGGAACTCTGTGCCCCCACTTTCCAAAGAAGAAATTTACTCATTAATCCGATCCGTACGCTTTGCATAGCAGTCTGTCAAAATGATTTTTTGAGAAAAACTGAAAGTTTCAAAGAGATCTTCGCTCTAAAAGTATTCTAAAATGTGAAGAACACAACCCCTGGGGTACAAAATGACCCCGGGCTTACTGATAGGGTTAATGTTTTGTGGGATATATATAATATTATGTTTGACATGCTTAATGTTTTAAACTTCACTTGTCTTTTTTCAGAAGACACATCAGCACCAGTCGACAGTGACCTGGGTGGTCAGTTCACAGAGATTTTTATCAAAAAGTCGGACAACGTCTCGCTTCTCTTGTCATTTTTAGAGGTGGGTCATGTGTTCTGGGCCAGTGCTCTGTCTATCTGTTCCCTCATATTTGTGTTGTGACGCAGTGGAATCAGGCGCTCGTCCATTTATGCATATGGAGTTATTGGTAGGTCTATACTCTTAGTTTAGTTTAGTTTTAGTAGATGTTTTACGGAGCTCGCTACTGCATAAGGTCATATGAGTGCCAGAAGATTAGATGTGTTACAAGAGAGTAGCAAACTTAAAAAAGAAGAAGGGGAGGTAAGGACAATAGATGTTTTATAGGAAAGAAGAAGCAAACCATACCAGAACACCCACCAACCACCCACTTATACTCTTAAAGGTTATACATTTGCCTTGCTTACGATGAAAATAATATCCATTTATCTTGAATAGAAGTCCAGATATTTGCGATTGAAGGAGATTGGGTCTCCTGGTTTTAGAAGTAAAATTAGCGAGAAAATGGCCACCAAAGTTCGGTGACTTCCGTAGCTTAAGGGTCCTTGGAAACTGCAAATTTACATTTTTTTGTGCCTTTACTCAACGTTCTTCCATAAAATCCACACATAAAAGTGTTTTTAAATGGACATACAAGGTGTTTAGGAAAAAAAAAATTCGAAAAAAAATTCCAAACTGACTGAAAAATGCAGATTTTTTGGATTTCATTACTTTGACGAGCGCCTGGTTTCACCACGATGCCCCACTTTTGTTTTATTTACTTTTTAGAATATACTGCAGTAAATATTGAATTGTTTGTAGTTCATGAGGTGCTATATTGTTTGCTTCTTCTATTAGAAGTCTTGCTTTAAGGTCATTTTGCACGTAATTGAGGGTTATTCAGTTTTGTGTTTTTCTTTTTATCTTTGTCATATACAAAGGACTTTTTATGTTGAAAGATTTGAGTGAATGGTTGGCGGGTGCTCTGGTGTGGTTTGCTCCTTTTTGTCTACCAAACATCTGTTGTCCTTATCTGTCATCTTTTTTGTTGTTGTATTTCTTACTTTCTCGTAATACCTCTAATCTTCAGCTCTTATGTGACCTACTTGTGTTGCTAGACTCTTACTAAAGATTTGAGTGGGTGGTTGGCGGGTGCTCTGGTGTGGTTTGCTCCTTCTTTCCTATCAAACATCTATCATCCTTATCTCCCCTTTTTCTTTTTTATGTTTGTTACTCTCTTGTAACACCTCTAATCTTCTGGCGCTCATATGACCTTATGCAGTTGCAAGCGCCGTAAAACCTCTACTAAAACTAAAAGATTTGAACTTTAAATGGACTTGCAATGAGTTGGTGCTGCTTTATTTTTTTTTTTTATTGTTTCTGGACTACCCTTGGATGTAGAAACTGCCAAAGCTTAGTGTTGTGCTTGCATAATTAACTGCCAACACATGTTGTTATTGTTATATGTGGCAGAATGCCTTGTGACATGTTTTTGCCATTTGGAAGATCAATCTGTAACATTCTCGCATTCAGGAGTATGACTTTCACGTGCGATGGCCTACTGTGAAGTTGCTGACTGTTCTGCTGACTAACCGGCAAAAAGACCTGCAGGAAATCATCCTGGTGATCCCCATGGGAGTGTCAAGACTAATGGATCTGCTCTCCGACAGCCGGGAGATCATCCGCAATGATGTGAGTTGTTCAGTCGCTGTCATTGACCCAGTTCATACTGATAATCAAATTCATATGATCCAATCAGGCATAGCCAGATTTTCCTTCGTGGACGGGACAAAAGCTGCCATTTTGGCACAATTCGACCGAATTTCAACTAAATGCGACAAACGTGTTTGTTTTTCAAGGTTAGGAGTGGAATCTGTTGTACTTTGCCTAAATGGTAGCCTTTGCTTCAAGTCTATGAATCCTAGCTGTCCCCTACCTATTCCAAATGAAGATTTTGATTGGCAGTGTACCCTTGGTATTACAGTTTGGGTTTCCTTACAAAATGTGCAGGGAATCATTGTGGCGAAAAGGAGCCATCTTTTGTTAGTAGAAGTATTACACTATACTTTGAACACAATGTTCATCTGCACTTTTTAGAATTGGTGTACCCTTTTCGAGATAATGAGATTTGTTGGCAGGCTTGTCTACTTTGCCTTGTAGTAGGTACCGTGGTGGTCTTCATAGAGCCCTAGACGAGATTTGTTTTAAGACAGTGTTGCAAAAGTTAAAAGCTTAATGAAAGTTGGCAGAGTGTGATATTTTGGACAGTTGAGGTCTTGCAGAGAATACAGATTTCAACAAGACTGTGTATATCCATGAAAAATCGGTTGTTCTTGTTATTTATTTGAAGTTGTAAGGAGTTTCAATTTGAAAGCGCAGATGAAAAGGAAGTGATGTTTTGTTACAATGATTGAGTCATGACAATAAGTAACAATCAAAAAAGAGGAAAGCAGTATCGTCAAAATGCTTTAAACAGGATCCCTGCCTTTTTTAGCATCTATAATATAGTTGCCTTTATATTTTCTTTTTTCTCTCTATCTTTGACAACAACCTCAGGCTTTGCTGCTGTTAAATCAACTGACGAAAGGCCATGCCAACATACAGAAGATCGTTGCCTTTGAGAATGCCTTTGAGCGGATCATCGACATCATCAGAGATGAAGGAGCATCAGATGGTGGTATGTTTTTAAAAAAATTTTTCTACAATCCGTTCTTGCTCGCTGAATACATTTTCACTGTATTCAGGAAAGATTATTGTCTTACATTTACTAAATTTATGTAGTGGCCGGTGAAATGGTGAGAATAGCAGTGAAAGGGGAATAGATTAAATTTGTGACTTTCCTCAGAGTTTATGGAAACCCATTGATGTTCAAATGTTTTGTGTCTCATGCCATCCGATGTAGAAAGATGTCATTTTGCTAAGTTGCATCTTTATGAGTAAGCTTTATGTTATCAAAGTCTGAGAACTGATGACGCATATTATATTGTTCTCAAGTTAATGTTGACCCCCATTCTTTGGGATGAAATGTGCGGGTCTTATACATGTTTTACTGTGTTGAACAGTGTGCTCTTCAATTTTAGAGATGTCAGGTAACAAATCTTTTTAATTTCACAGGCATTGTTGTTGAAGATTGCCTTCTGCTGCTTCAGAACTTGTTACGGAACAACGCGTCCAATCAGAACTTTTTCAAAGAGGGCAGTTTTGTCCAGAGACTGACCCCGTTCTTTGAGCTGGAGAGTGAGAACAGCAACAAGCAGGGAGGATGGTCTGCTCAGAAAGTCACCAACATGCACCTGCTCTTACAGGTACTCCAATCATCGAACATCTTACTGTTCAGTTTTCCTATTCATTTGATTAACCAAGACCATGTGATGAACTTTTATTATTTTGTATTGAAAAACATCCCCATCTTGTGAGACAGGAATAATTTTAAATTGAACAAACATCTTTCTTATAAAAAAATGATTATGTTTACGAACATTTGGAAAATGTAGATTAGATTTACAAAAACTTAAGACAGATTTCTTTGTCTGTATACTGTATCCTGAGTGTTCTCAAAGCTGGTTCTGAAGGGACGGCTGTTGGAAGATCAGAGAACTGGGTGGTCAGAAAAGGTATGAAAATCATAAAACCATTTTTACCAGCTGTCTCACATGTGTTCACAGAAGAATTCTGGATTGTTTTAGTCTTTCAGTTGATTCTAGCGAATGCACAATGTTGGATATACCTTTCTCTTATACTTTTTATCATACGGTAAAGGATATGGAAGTATGCCCGCGACAAAAGTTTCAGAACGATTTTTATCCTGCATTATTAACCTGGATTTGTCCTAATTATTCAGGACTATGTTGAAATATAACAGTAGTAGTTTGCATTGTCCCCAAACTATGTATGGTAGTGTTTGTTTGTTTTTATTGTTAAGCAAATGTTGATCTCAGATTTTTTTCTATCTTTTTTTTTTTTTTTGTTCCTCAGCTTGTGCGAACTCTTGTGTCTCCAAATAACCCTCAGAACCAGACTGTTGCCTGTCAGAAAGTCATGAACCAGTGTGGTAAGTTCAGGTTTCTTCGCTGCTTTGAACATTGATAAATCAGAGGTACAAACTTACCGGAGTAATCGAGAACTCCTCTGATTGAAAAAATTGTCTGTGTTTGGCCTGACTTCTCAATACAAGATGCAGTTAACTTGCAGTTAATACAATATAATCTGTTTATTTTATGTCCCAATGCATGGGTTTCCACGGGGTCCGAACATTTCAAGATTTTTTCGTAATCAGTTGGTACCCCTGAAAAATATGAAAGAGTCATCTGTTTGAGCTGCTGTAGTGATGTACTGATTCATTGTTATTGTTGTTGCTCCTTCTTGTGAGCTTCCACAGTTCTGTCTAGTGCCCAATTGTGGTGTCACCTTGCACAGTTCTGTCTAGTGCCCAATTGTGGTGTCACCTTGCACAGTTCTGTCTAGTGCCCAATTGTGGTGTCACCTTCCACAGTTCTGTCTAGTGCCCAATTGTGGTGTCACCTTCCACAGTTCTGTCTAGTGCCCAATTGTGGTGTCACCTTGCACAGTTCTGTCTAGTGCCCAATTGTGGTGTCACCTTGCACAGTTCTGTCTAGTGCCCAATTGTGGTATCACCTTCCACAGTTCTGTCTAGTGCCTAATTCTGGTATCACCTTCCACAGTTCTGTCTAGTGCCCAATTGTGGTATCACCTTCCACAGTTCTGTCTAGTGCCTAATTGTGGTATCACCTTCCACAGTTCTGTCTAGTGCCCAATTGTGGTGTCACATTCCATAGTTCTGTCTTGTGCCCAATTGTGGTGTCACCTTCCACAGTCCTGTCTAGTGCCCAATTGTGGTGTCACCTTCCACAGTCCTGTCGAGTGCCCAATTATGGTGTCATCTATCACAGTTCTGTCTAGTGCCCAATTGTGGTGTCACCTTCCACAGTTCTGTCTAGTGCCCAATTGTAGTGTCACAAGTGGGTGGCAACTGTTAAAAAATTCCTTACATCTTGTTTACTGTGTTATGGAGAGAGAGAGAGAAAGAGAGAGTGAGAGAGAGAAACAGGATTACTATAGGAGCTGTGCACTGCATATGTTCTTTGTTTTATTGTACAGCGCATTGAGCCCTTCTTTGTGGAAATGCGCATTATAAATGCAATTTATTATTATTATTATTATTATTATTATTATTATGGCTGCAGGAGAAGTTGACTCATTAGGTCTGTGAGGATGTGGGGTAACCTAACAGGTGATGTGCCTCAATGTTCTCCACGGGTCCTCACATGCGGTGCACTGAATCTTGTCAGATGTTTGTCTTTTAAAGAGTGAAAATTAAAGACCCTATAACGAAGTCACGACTGTAGTTTGTGTAGTTCGACCTTAAATTGTGTGTCTATTCACAAGGGGGAGGGGGGCTTTTTCCTGGTTTTCGCAAATCCGGATCGTGCAACCATTGTGTACAGACTGTGCTCTCTAATATATTTGGGGCTATTGCTAGATGTTGTGCAGCGTTGAAAAGAGGTCTTCATTCCTTCTGAAATGTTGATGCGCTTGTGGACTGAAAATAATTTAACTATGGAGCAGGGTAGTGGGTTAATGTAGACCTCATAAACCTTAATTCTTCCTGCATTTTTTTAGAACACCACTGTATTGATTTTGCAGCGACAATGTAGACACATGATATATGGTCAGATAGGCAATTGATTTTTTATACCTCTGGTGTCTTTGTATTGACATCTGGTGCAAAAAGTCACTAGCTTATGATAATTTATTGTAGGCAAGAAAAGCAATAAGGTTTTTATTCAATTTTCGGCTTTGTTTCTTGGTTAAATTCACTGCTGTGTATTTACAGGGCTCTTGCAAGAGTTGTGTTCAATTCTTATGGCCAGTGGTGTACCAGCAGATGTCTTGACAGAGGTGAGTTTTGTTGGGTTTTTTTGTCTGTTTGGATAAATTTTACTATCTTTGGCTCTTGAGTAGAAATTAAAGATCAGCTTTGTTAGATTTAAAAAAGAAAAGTTTTGTGTCGAGAAAAAAATTCTTAAGAAAGAAAAAAAGCAACTTCTGTCTTAAATTTATGTCTTCATGCCAAATTATTATGAACATTTATTGTAATGGTCTCTTTGTTTATGATTTTTGTTTTTTCAGACAATCAACACTGTGTCAGAAGTCATTCGGGGCAGTACCGCAAACCAGGAATACTTTGCTTCAGTCTTAGCTCCCTCAACACCACCAAGGTATGGCAGCTTTTTCAGTCTGTTTTCGTGGGTGGTTGGCGGATGCTCTGGTGTGGTTTGCTCCTTCTTTTCCATAAAAGATCTATCCTCCATATATTTCCTCCTTTTTAGCATTTATTAATTTCTTGTTACTCTTCTAATCTTGGGCACTTATTTGACCTTATTATGTTGCAAGTGCGGTAAAATGCTTACAAGGACTAAACTAATTCTGTTGTCACCTCATTGTGTTTGTGTTCAGATTTAGATCTCATACATATCTGTAATGTTTGTGCTTTATGCGAACAATTTATTTGGGGTTTTTTCATTTGTTTCCTGATTGTGTAAAAATTATGTTCTCAGTAGCATGAGATTTGTTTGATTTTACGATTCTTCTGTGTATTTCAAGCTTGGAGTTTATCAACTTGTGCAAACATAAGCTATGAAAAATATGTTCCAGCAAGGAGATGCTTGTGTATAGATGAGATATACCTGTTGTGTGTGTGTTTTTATGAGAACCTGAAGAAATATCCATATTAGAGATTTTGAGCAATTTTTTGTGATGGATGGTTTTACATAGATTTTGTCAATGGATGTAGCTATCTCTTCATTTCTTTTTCTATTGACATATTGTTTAACCTATTTGTCTCTCCTAATAAGTGAACAAACATTGACAGAAGATTGTGGCCTGTGATTTTTTTAGCATGGGGGTTCACATGTGGTTAGTAGCCGCGGGGTTATCGTATGTGAGATGTGCTGACAAAATAAGTTATTTTTGGATTTTCACCCTATGGAAGTAATTTCCTCAAATTTACCTTCTGAGTTTTTACATTTTATTAGTATGAAATAACAGAAAACATGTTAAACTTGGAAGAGAATGACATTTATTAAAAATCGACTAATTCATCCCTTGCATTGGTTTTTGACCGATATCTCAATTCATGGATTGGAAGAAGTAACTCATTTTTTTTGTCTTAAGACCTCACATTCAAACAGAGAGAAACATTAACTTATAATTCTATGGGTCTCCCCCCTGACAGGCCCGCTATCGTGGTGTTGTTAATGTCCATGGTGAATGAGAAACAGCCGTTTGTGCTGCGCTGCGCTGTGCTGTACTGCTTCCAGTCCTTCCTGTGTAAGAACGAGGTGGGACAGTCACAGATTATACAGACGCTCCTGCCCACAGCGGCTGATGGTGAGTCATCTTCTTCATCATCATTGCCTTCCTCACCCTGGGTGAGGGCATAGGCCAAGAACAAACTTTCTCACCCTGGATCAGGGTATAGGCCATGAATAACAAACACTTTCTCACCCTGGATCAGGGTATAGGCCACTAACAACCAACACTTTCTCACCCTGGTTCAGGGTATAGGCAACGAACAAACACTTTCTCACCCTGGATCAGGGTATAGGCCACGAACAAACACTTTCCACCTTTCCCTGTAGTGGGCTATAGCCTCTTGATGTTATTTTATGTCTTCCCACTTTTCTGTACATCGATTTCTGTGACTTCTGATGGTGAGTACTTTACCGGCGTGCGAGTGGGTGTTTGGAGGGTGTCCACTTTTCTGTTCTATTTGTTTACCGTCAATTTGTTGTTTCTGTTTGTCTCACTGGTGGTTTGAGGCCACTTCTTGTAGGTCTTACTTGTTTAGGATCTCTTTGTTTCTTGCTTCTGTTTATTTCAGTAGGTGGGTTAGTGGGTGCCACTGGTAGGCCTTCCTTCTTTTCTGTTGTTTCCTTCTGTCTCAGTTGCTTTATCTGCTCTGAAAGCCGTGATTATGCAATTTACTGTTTTTGGATAGCTGAAAAGGTTGCCATAGTCTTAAAACATTTTTTGATATATTCAGAATACTTTTTTAACGGGTAAATTTTGTTTTCCTTTAGTTTAACTGTAATTGCATTAGCATGCTTCTTTTTTTGCTCACACAAACAACAAATAGTGGGTGGTTGGCGGGTGCTCTGGTGTGGTTTGCTCCTTCTTTCCTATCAAACATCTATCGTCCTTATCTCCCCTCCTTTTTTTAAATGTTTGTTACTCTTTTGTAACACATATAATCTTCTGGCGCTCATATGACCTTATGCAGTTGCGAGCGCCGTAAAACCTCTACTAAAACAAAAAACAATAACAACAAATATTTATTTCAAGTTTGTAGGTGGTTGGTGGGTGCTTTGGTGTAATTTTCTCCTTCTTTCCTATCAGACATCTATTGTTCTTATCTCTCCCCCTCCTTTTGTTTGTATGTTACTTTGTTGTAAAACCTCTAGTCTTTGGCACTTACACGTCCTGATTGTGCTGCATGTGCCATAAATCTCTCCTTAAAACTAAACATTTCAAGTTTCTTTTCTTTTTTCTATTTAGCCAACTCTATCACAGCTGGCCAGCTCCTGTGTGGCGGACTGTTCAGTGCCGACCCGCTGTCCAACTGGTTCGCCTCGGTGGCCCTGCTACACGCCATCGTGGAGAACCACACGCAGAAGGAGCAGCTGCTGCGGGTACAGCTGGCCACCAGTCTGGGCAACCCGCCGGTCTCGCTGCTTCAGCAGTGCTGTAACATGCTGTCTCAGGTGGGTGCCTTTATGCCAAGACTCGTTAGAGAAGTACAAACTGTTGTCAAGGAGAGGCAGATTAGGGCATGCTGTCTCAGGTGGGTGCCTTACTTTATGCCAGGACTCATTAGAGAAATGGTCGCTTTTAAGCACAAGGGGGGCCATCCCGAAAAATGCTGCTTTGAGAAAATTGAAGGTAAAGTTTTTGGATCTTTATTCAGTTTCTTTAAAAGACAAGGAGAGTTTTCTCTATTACCAAACAAATATAATAATAATAAATAATAATAATATATAACATTTATATAGCGCATTTTTTAAAAAGTAGCTCAATGCACTTTACATTGGAATATCCATTTTTCAAAAACCTTTCTTACTACTTCCTTTCTTCTCATGCAATATACATTAATGCACACTCACACACACATACACACACACACACACACACACACACACACACACACACACACACACACACACACACAGACTATTTTCATCCAGACATAGGAACAGAACAACTATAATGAAAGATAACGTTAAAAGCTGTAGGAACAGAAAATGTTTAAGATGTCTTTTGAAGCTATCAAGTGTTTTTATTTGTCTTAGTTTCATGGGTAATCACCATGTGTAATATACACACCAATGAAACCAAACTTCTCCCATAGGTAGGGCAATGCCCACTTTTGGTGTAGGTCAAGATTTCAGGAAACCCCCGAAATCTGGATTAGCCCGCTTGTCCTTAAAAGCCACGAAATACAAACTGTTGTCAAGGAGAGGGAGATTAAGGCATGCTCTCTCAGGTAGCTGCCGTTATGCCAGGACTGGTTAGAGAAATACAAACTGTGATGTATTGTTAAGAAAGTGTAATTGTGTGTGGTTGTGATCATTGTATTATGCGGGTTATGTCCTTTATATCTGTATGTATCACGTGACCGTGAAGATGTGTTTTTCACGAATTTACGGCAGTTCAGAAAAAACTCTCGAGCAAGTTGCATGTGTCATGTTGAAGATAATATATTGGCGTTGAGGACGATTCGTAGTGAGCTTGCCATGGCGACAATCGGTTCAGTGCATGAATTCAATGAGAAGGAGGATTCGTGTCATAGAGAGGGAGATTAGGGCATTCTGTCTCAGGTGGGTGTCTTAATTTATGCCAGGACTCGTCAGAGAAATACAAACGTTGTCATAGAGAGGGAGATTAGGCATGCTGTCTCAGGTGGGTGTCTTAATTTATGCCAGGACTCGTCAGAGAAATACAAACTGTTGTCATAGAGAGGAAGATTAGGGCATGCTGTCTCAGGTGGGTGTCTTAATTTATGCCAGGACTCGTCTGAGAAATACAAACTGTTATCAAGGAGAGAGAGATTAGTGCATGCTCTCTCAGGTCCCTCTACACTCAGAGACCATGTCTAATGAAACAAATGACTCCCGAAACCGTAGTCAAGGTGAGGTACTTGTCTTTACACTCCAACACCACAGACTGTGACACTATGTACCCTAAAACCACAATCAAGGAAGAGCAAAACAGTGTGGTCAGAGTAATTTTCAGAGCGCAGAAACAAGGGCGGTGTTTTCCTCCATTCTGTGGAAAACTTTGTTATTGTAATGTGCCTGAGAGCAGGTCATCCAGGGCTGGAACACCATAATGATAATAATAATGATGATAATAATAATTATTATTATTATAATAAGAGAATAATTATATGATAGTATTTTATTGTCTTGGAGGAACATTTTTCTTGGCCTTATAGGTATGCATAAAATTAAATTATAAATAACTCTCATTAAAATTCAATATGAAAAGAAAAGTTAAGCTGACAAAATGTACATATCTCATCAGATGCATCAGTGGTAGAATGGTTTGTTAGCTCCGGATCACTATAAATGTCAAACATACATCAGTGATACAGCACAATGTCAAACATACATCAGTGATACAGCACAATGTCAAACATACATCAGTGATACAGCACAATGTCAAACATACATCAGTGGTACAGCACAATGTCAAACATACATCAGTGATACAGCACAATGTCAAACATACATCAGTGATACAGCACAATGTCAAACATACATCAGTGATACAGCACAATGTCAAACATACATCAGTGATACAGCACAATGTCAAACATACATCAGTGATACAGCACAATGTCAAACATACATCAGTGGTACAGCACAATGTCAAACATACATCAGTGATACAGCACAATGTCAAACATACATCAGTGATACAGCACAATGTCAAACATACATCAGTGATACAGCACAATGTCAAACATACATCAGTGATACAGCACAATGTCAAACGAACAAAGGTTAAAGGTCACGGGTGTGTGTCCTTGAGCAAAGCATGAAAACCTGAGCTTTAAAAAAATGGGCGATGCACACTGGCAACTCCATTCAGCAGTAATGGATACGCCAAGTTGGGGAAGTAAAGGCGGCGTGGAAAGGAACTGGCCACCCTACCATATGTCGAAGGCTCAAGAAGTTGTCTCACTAACAAACCAATCCCCAATATCCGGATTGGATGCGGGAACAACTTGACTTTATTACAATATGTCATACAATTGTAAAACAGATTTCCCCTCAGGAATCAGTGAAATGGAATTGATTATTATTTTTGTTATTATATTGCAACATTTCATGTTTTTATTCCCCCAGGGCGGCAAGTTTCAGACTCGTATTGGTCTTCTCATGGTGCTATGTGGATGGTTGTGCGACTGCCCCATCGCTGTCTCACACTTCTTGAGCAACACTGCCAATGTACCATATGTATCCTTTTGTCTGTTATCTGTGTTCCGATGTTGATGTTTGAGTGTAGTGACGGCCATTTTCCCACCTTCAGGAAGCCAATTTGCTATTCTTATAAAGATATGATTATTCTGAGATGCTGCAAAATGCTTCACTGCATCTTTCTGGTTGACTTTTTGTTTTAAAAATATTACCAAGGAGCAATTCGGCCAAGTACACTGTGCAAGATAGTGTTATAAGGAAGACCCCCTTTTTATTGAAAATAGATCTGGATTGATAACAACAACGGGGAAAATAGGTGGGTTTTTTTAGGTCAACTGAAAGGCACGGACAGTGAGTTTTGGGTACTGTTCTCTCTGAAATTACAGCGAAACATGGGTGAAATTGTCCAAGACAGCCATCTATAGTTGAGAACAGTGGTTGTCTAAGGTGTATGTTTTGAACAGTGTCGTGATGTTATTAAGAAAGGAAAACCCCACAAAGTGGGATTTGGGATGTGGTTGTTTGAACAGATGATTGCTATGGACAGGTGGCCGTTACAGCTGGTTTGATTGCATGTACCTGGCATACCTGGATACCTGGAGGTGCATCTCTGACTCAGAGGTTGACGTGTAATGACCCTCCATCTTTCACGGTCGCGAGCTACCGTTGCACATTCTGCCATGTCTAGTCCAGTCCATGTTCTTATGTTGTCCATCCATGTTATTTTTTTCCTTCCTCTCGCTCTCCTGCCCCACATCTTTTCTTCAAGCACCTCTTTCACAATAATCCTGTGTCTTTTTAAATGTCACATGGGTGTTGTTGTTATTGATCCAGCAACAGCTGGGCTCTCGCCCTTCTATCCAATGCCATGTAGTGATAAGTGCAAGTTTGCTGCAGTTGCTGTAATGTTCCATAGAGTGTGTTGTCAATTTTAGGTCTCGGAGGGAGAAGGGTAGCTCTGATGTCATTTAGGGCTGTGCAGTGGAACAGGTGATGATCCACAGTCTCATATGCATAGTCACACAAGGGACACATTGGGGGAAGTTACATGGTAATTCCTTAACTCCGGTGCTCAGCTGATCTCGCAAGTGTCATCCAGTGAGGGGGAGGAGCATGAAGCCATTGTGCAGGGCCTCTGTGCCTTTCTCCTGGGCATCTGTATGCTCTACAATGATGACAAAAGCGAAGCTTTCTCCAAGTAAGTTTGGTCGTTTCATCTTTTCTTTTTAGAAACCCTGGCCTACATTTCTCTCCTGCAAACTAGACCTCTAGACCTCTTAAGCGCTATTTTGTTTGAGTTTTTGTCTTTTTTCTGTTTGGTGTTTGTTCCATTTATGAACTTGTTCCTTACATGAAATTCTCGTTTATATTTCAATTTTGAATATTGATTTTTTTCTTGTTTCCCGTAAGTTATGGTAAGGGAAAGTTTTATTTAGCAACATTATACGTACATTTTCCCCTCAGTAAATAAATGTTTGCATTAGCTTTTGCACAAGCACTTGTACTGCTCACCAATTTGTGAACAATGTGCATGAAAAAGAACTCCAGAGGGAAATGATGAGGCTAGAAAATTGTAATGCTTAACCAGCAGATGCGGCTTATGATTTATACAAACATAATTGTATCTTTTGCTTGGAATGTTATGGTGTCGTACTTGTCAGAATGAGAACACTTTTGCGTGCTCTGTAACGTAGAAATGGGTATCCTTGGATATAGATGTATTGTGAATACAAAGCCTGTAGCCCACAAAAGTAATGATGAGACGTTTTTGCTTTTGTTTTTGGAGATCAACTTTTCGCGTCTGATCTTCAGCTTTTATGTGAAATGGTACAAGTTCCCTTTCAAGAATTGTGTGCTGCATGATTTTGATGTGATACAGTGAAATACAAACTGATCTCCTCCTGATTCTCAAACACTGTCCCCTGTATGTTTCTCAACAGGAGTGCCTTGAAGCAAGTCATTCAGAACCGCATCGGGCTGGAGTCGTTCACAGACAAGCTGACGCAAGTGGCACAAAACGAGAACTACACACGCGCCGCCAAGAAACCACATTTGTACTACAAGCACCCCAACGAGATTGTCTTTGACTACTCCTTCACGCGTCTCTTCAAGAGTTTAGAAAGTGAGTGATGTGTTGTGGCTAGTAGCACTCGTGACTCTTCTTCAAAGGTGTTGCATCCTCTCGTATTTTTGATCCAGTTCCAGTTTTGAAATTACATGCCTAGTATGCAAAAGACATGAGTTTGACTGCTGCATGTGGAAGATATTTTAATCTAGTATATCTGTCTTTCTGTTGGGATTTGTAGTCCCTTACTGTTCGGTTTGGCCATGGTATATAGGATGAAGCAACTTGTCTGTTAAATGATCTTTATTGTGTCCAAGAGAGCATAGAATATTTTTGAGTCAGTCTTTTAAACTATTATTTAAATTTATTTTGATTCATCTGTCTTTTATAATTTCCAATTCTTTTGTATTTCTTTATGTTACTTGGATCGTTTTGTGGCATTCACAATTTTTATTAGCATGAATTTTAAATAAAACTCACCCACAAAACTAAAAGTCTTTAACTGAAAGGTGTTTCGTATTTAAGAGTTGAGGAATATCTTCCCCGTTTTGCTTCAGACGGTGGGTGGTTGGCAGGTGCTCTGGTGTGATTTGCTTCTTCTTTCCTATCAAACATCAGTCGTCCTGATCTCTTCTTCTTTTTTATGTTTTCTACTTTCTTGTAACACCTCTAATCTTCGGCACTTGTATGACCTTATTGTGTTACAAGTGCTTTTAAAACTCTTACTAAAACTAAAACGATCTCTCCTCCTTTTTTTATGTTTGCTGCTCCCTTGTAACACCTCTAATCCTCGGCACTTATGTGACCTTATTGAACCCCGCGATGGTGCTGCTGACTAAAGTGTCTTTAGGCCATTCCCAAAGGGGGACATTACCATGTTCTGTTACACAATGGAATTGTAAATGGGCTGATTCATCAATTTCATGCTCATAACTGTGCCGGAATTGCAACAGGAAACTGCTGCTTTTTTTTTCCTCATCCTTACTATCGTCATTTTGTCCTCTACTTCTTTTGTATGTTTGTTACTCTCTTGTGACCTGTTGTTTCCGGGTTGCCTTGATAGTCGAAGCAGACTGTGCTGTTGAAGCTAGAGAGGTGAGCAGAGTAAGCCCGATTCCCTGTAAGGAGTTCTCTGTTGACATCCAGCCCTTGGCGCTCATATGACCTTATGCAGTTGCGAGCGCTGTAAAACGTGTACTAAAACTAAAAACTGACCTTATTGTGTGTGAAAGTGCCGTTGTTGTTGTTTTCAAATCCCTTTAGCTGCGAGCATTTCGCTCTTGGCAGCACAAAAAGTGGCGTAAAACTCTTTAAAAAAAACTTTGCTTCAGACGAGGTGTTGAAGGCGGTGTCTGGCTCGGGCGGCGCCATCAACGGACGCACGCTGCTGGGTGGGGACGAGGACCAGTACAAGGCTCTGCTGAGGGAGCAGGAGGAGGTGCTGAGCGGGCTGAGGCAGCAGCTGGAGGAAATGCAGGGGCAGAACAGCGCGTCAGAGAGGCGTGTCGCCGAGCTCACCGACCAGGTCCAGCAACTCCGGGACCAGAACGCCCTGCTGAAGGCACACAAAGGTGAGGAGATCTTTTATCCGTATGGGAAGATGCCTGGCTAGGTTTGTTACAAAGGTCTCTGATTGGGCACAACAATGGAGTGTTTTTTTGTTAGTTCTAATGCCCTTAAGAGTCCAGCAACTCCGGGACCAGAACGCGCTGCTGAAGGCACACAAGGGTGAGGATATCTGGATGTCAGAAATTTGTGGCGGCGCAACTTCTCTTTTTGGCCCGTGTCCTGATTTTGGTGCCTGTATTTGTTGGTTATGTAAGAATGTACAGACATGGTGGGTGCAAATTGTTATGTTTTCTAGAGAAACGAAACAAGGGAAAGGGGAATTGTTAAGTCGGCAGTTATGATGATGATGATGCTGATGATGATAATGATGCAACTTTTCCTCAGATTTCTCTTTTATTGGTGAATCAGGGTCATCCATACTTTGCACAGCAGTTTGTATCAATTTGTTTTAAAAAATCTGTAGAAACTACCCACTTGGATTTTTTATTAGTATTTATTAATGAATTTTCTAGGATACAGCTAGCAGGTGTTTACAAAAATGCTGATCTGTTAAGACAAATTGATACAAGTCATTGTGCTAAAATTGGAAAACCTGTGTTCAATAGTTGAGGAGATATTTGACAATAAGTTGTGCCATGAATTTTTTAAGCACACTATAGGTTTGTAACTTTGTCATAGAGGTCTCTGATTGGGTGCAGCAATGGAGTGTCGTTTAGTTCGTGCTAGTACCATAAAGAGAGGTCACTGATTCGGTCCAACAACAGAGGGAAAGAACGTAGGTGGTTGGAGGGTGCCTTGGTGTGGTTTACTTCTTCTTTCCTATCAAACTTCTATGGTCCTTATCTCCCCTTCGTCTTTTCTATGTTTGTTACTCTCTTGTAACAGCTCTAATCTTCTGGCTCTCATATGACCTTATGCAGTTGCGAACGCCGTAAAACCTCTACTAAAACTAAAGAGGGAAAGAACCCTGCTGAAGGCACACAAAGGTGAGGAGATCGGGCGTGGGTGGGTGGTTGGAGGGGGCTGCTGGTGGTAGGTTTTGCTTCTTTACTTTTCCTCTGTTGTTTCTGTCTACCTGTCTTACCTTTTCTCAACACTAAATGACTCGCCAACCAGGTCTCCTCCCCCCCAGCGCCTTACGAGTCATTTGAGGTTAAGACTTCTATTGTACGATGTGTTGATGTTGTAACGATATTTGTTCGCTTTTAAGGACAAGAGCGCTAACTCAGATTTCGGGGGTTTCCAAAAATCTTGACCAACACCAAAAGTTGGCATTGCCTACCCAAAAGAGAAGTTTGGTTTCATTGGTGCGTATATTTGTTTGGTTATAAAGCATACTCTCCTTGTCATTTAAAGAAACTGAACAAGGGGCGCAAACTTTACCTTCGATTTTCTCTAAACAAGCCCCTTGTGCTTAAAAACGACCATATCTTCCTCCTGTGTGTGCAGGTAGTCAGGGCACTCCGCCCCCAGTAGCAGCGTCGCCGTCCGGAGCCTCCGCCGAGGAAGTGGAAAGTCTGCAGCGGGAGGTGGACAGTCTCAGGTCTCAGCTCACGGAGAAAGATGCTCAGCTCCAAGCCAGTGTAAGTTACTGCTTTTTGTTTTTACCTGTAACGTCAAGACTCATTCATTATCATTCCAGCATCTGTGGTTTATTGGTTAGGCTCAATACATATCTTTGTCTCTCTCTCTTCCCCCCCCCTCTCTTTTTATCTCTTTCTCTCTCTCTCTCTCGATCTGTCTGTCTGTCTGTCTCTGTCTCTGTCTCTCTCTGTCTCTCTGTCTCTCTCTGTCTCTCTCTCTCTGTCTCTCTCTCTCTCTCTCTCTCTCTCTCTCTCTCTCTCTCTCTCTCTCTCTCACCACTTACAAAAATTTTTTTTTTTTAAACCTAGTGTTGTTGTATCCCCCTGCATGTCACTGTTGAATCTAGTGTGTGGGTGGTTGGCTGGTGCTGTGGTGTGGTTTGCTCCTTCTTTCCTACAAAACATCTATCGTCCTTATCTCCCCTTCTTCTTTTTTTAATGTTTTTTACTCTCTTGTAACACCTCTAATCTTTGGCACTTATATGACCTTATGCAGTTATGAGCACTGTAAAACCTCTACTAAAACAAAAACAATCTAATCTTGTGGCGCTCATATGACCTTATTGTGTTGCAAGTGCCCTAAAACTCTTACGAAAAGAAAAAAATCTTGCTGCAGGCCGCTGGAGGAGACGAAGACAAGGAGAACAACCCAGATGGCGGGGCTGTGCTTCAAGCTTCCCTGGCTCGCCTACAGGGGGAGGTGGCCAGCCGAGACCAGGAGATCTCAGGTCTGAAGGCCGAGGTGACTCGACTGACCACTGAGCTACAACAGGTGTGTGCTCATTTACTCTACATATAATAATACATGTAATAATAATAATAATTATAATAATAATAATAATAGTTATAATAATAATAGATAGTTTTTGTAAAGAGCGCAATTAGATAGTTTTTGTATACAGCGCAAATTCCCCCTCAACAGCAAGCTCTATGCACTTGACAATGTATACTGAGGTGCAAAAGAAACGCGAATATTTATTACAACACAATGATTGGCAAAATGCAACACATAGGTTTCCAGTTATTTGTTGTGTTTATTAGCTGAAACTTTGCACACTTCTTGAGTGACATAGCTGGCATGAACTGAGGATCCGACACATTTATCTGAGCTCACGTTGACCTTGACGGGCAAACTTAGTAACGCGTATGGCCTCCACGTGCAGCGATTATAGCGGGGCATCTTCTGTTCATAGAGTTAATCAAACGGTTGATCTGGCCATTTTGGATGCCACCGAAGATCTGGATGATGGCTGCAGTCAACTGGGCTGCTGGTCGAGGCCGTGGCTGCGTCTGGTTAAGCTGTCTTTAGATCATGTCCAACAAATGTTCAATAGGGTTCAAGTCAGGTGAGTGAGGTGGGTGTGCCAATAAATTGACATTGTTCTGCGCCAAGAAGTTCTGGGTAGCACGTGCGGTATGTGGTTGTGCGTTGCCTTGTTGATATAGGCAGTTACGATGGCTCTGTATAAAGGGCACCACTTGAGGTTCCAAGACTAGTGCAATGTAGCGCTGAGCCGTGATGCCGTTTCCACGTCCTGGACCAATGTTCTGGAAGTTGACAGGTCCCACTCTATGATTCAACGCCATGGTTCCCCATATCATCACGCTCTCGCCTCCCCAGGGGTCACGCTCCAGAATGTTGTTGTCGTCATAGCGAGTCGTGTCTCTACGCCACGCACGGACACGGCCATTCACTGGATCGACGCAGAACCTGCTTTCATCACTGAAGAGGACTCTCCTCCACTGTGCGTTCTGCCAGTTGACATGTGCCTGTGCCCACTGTATCCGTTGCTGTAGATGCCTTGGTGTTAGGACAGCTCCCTAGTAAGGACGCTTGCAGTGAAGACCAGCAGTCACTAACCTCGTTGGCACAGTCCAGCAGCTAAGTTGGCTTCCAGTCGTTCCCATGATTGTTCTGGCAGTCTCTGCACCTGGCAGAAACGGATCGCGGCGGTACCGATGAATGATGACACAATCATGGGCTGGAGTTGTCCCCCTTGGTCTTCCACTTTTTGGTCGATCTGCTGTGGTCGCTGTCGCTTGTAATCGGTTCCGAAGGTGATAAATGGTGCTTAGGTGGACACCAAAAACCTGGGACACCTGTTCCACCGACTCACCGGCCGCCAGTCGCCCGACAGCTCTTTCTCTGTTTTCCCTTGATAACCTTGGCATGTCTGTAGCTCGTCTGTTTCGATATGAATGCAACACTTCGAGGTGCGGATTTTATAGGCATACGCCCAGGACTGAGTGAGCATAAACTCAGGACTGACAATAAGTTGCAAATGTGTCCCAGTGGTGAGTGATGACTCGTGAGTTGTGCATTGCTTACGCAGCCAATGACATCTTTGCGATGCTCAAAAATGCCCAATCAAGACGCTCGAGGCAAGTGTTGACTGATATGAGTTCACATCACACAACTATGAACTCAGCATTGGGCGATTACAACAACATAAAAAATTCGCGGTTTTTTGCACCTCACTATATATTATTACCCCAGCAGATAGCATTCTGATACAATCTCAGTTTCCTGGGAAGCATGCCGTGCAAAACGAACAATTCAGTTTTTAGGCCTGCATAAAGAATGCTTTCTTTAGACATGGTTGAGGTTTTACTCACAGTTGCAGGTTTGCTGTGTGATTTGGCGAGTTCTCTGATCGAACCAAAACTTTTCCTATGTGTTTAAGAACTTTCGTGTCATAGTTTGGTTGGTGCTTTGATGGAATCTTTACATATCTTCATTCTTGTCATAAGACAGGCTAATGCACAAAGTATAATTTTTTTTAAATAGATTTGATGAATCAGTAGTAAATTGCTTATTTCGTACGCTCTGCCAAAGCCAGGCCTGAATTTTGACTGGAACTTCTACTGAAACATTAGAAATGAAGCCTAACAATCTGGCGGAAGTCAGGCTGCACTGCGATGTAAACCAAATTTTTTTGCTTGTCCTTTAGAATTCACTCCACTTGGGGTTAGTCAGGCCTATCAGGAGGGTGACATTTTGCTTTCCTTCCCCAGAAGTCAACACAGTCTGCCGAAGCTTCCTCTCCAGAGTCAGACGCCGCCACCGCAGAGCTCCAGTCGCGGTTACAAGCCAGCGAGTCTCAGGTGGCCGCCCTCACGGAGGAGCGGAACTCTCTGCAGGAACGAGTCAAGAAATCCAACGAGGAGAACCTGAAGCTGGCCAGTAATGTGCGGGTGAGTGGCCACCTCACACAGGAGTACACGCGACACACAGGAGTACACATGACACACTAGAGTACACACCACACACAGGAGTACACGCGGCACACAGGAGTAATAACAATAATAAATCGCATTTATGCTGCGCATTTCCAAAAAATGCTCAATGCGCGTAACATCAAAAAAAGGCATCACATATGTGTATGTATAAAACATTCTATGAGAAAAACGGTCTTGCAGTGAGCTTGGCAATGTGTTCCCACTAAAAATATACAATGCAATACAAATTCATGAACGCTCCCAATAAAATTGAAACTTGAATAAATAGAAATATTCATTAAAAACATTCGTTCTCTATAAATAGAAGTGACATTTCCATTCTCTCTCCGTCTCTCTCTCTCTCTCTCTCTCTCTCTCTCTCTCTCTCTCCCCCTCTCTCTCTCTCTCTCTCCCTCTCTCTCCCTCCCTCTCTCTCCCTCTCTCTCTCTCCCTCTCTCTCCCTCTCTCTCCCTCCCTCTCTCTCTCCCCCCCTCTCTCTCTCGCTCCCTCCCTCTCTCTCTCTCTCTCTCTCGCTCCCTCCCTCTTTCTCTCTCTCTCTTGCCCCACACGCGAGTACACGCCTCACTCACCTGTACACACAACACACTCGAGTACACGCCTCACACAGGAGTACACGCCTCGCACAGGAGTACACAGGACACACAGGAGTACACGCCTCACACAGAAGTACTCGTGACACACGCGAGTACATGTTATTTAGTCATTGTCACCTGGTGTTATTATAATGGCTGCCACACCTCTAGCTTTTCTGAGTGGGAAATTTTGTCAACCTGATTTATTTCCTGTCAGCAACATATTAGGCAAAAGTAACGTAAAATTTCATGCTACATATCCTCAGGGGGAAAAAATACACTCTTTTCTGCAACTCCGAAAAATCAGCTGTGGGTGGTGGCGAGTGCTCTGGTGTGGTTTGCTTCTTCTTTCCTATCAAACGTCTATCGTCTTTATCTCTCCTCCTTCTTTTTTGTGTGTGTTACTCTCTTGCAACACCTCTAATCTTCAGCAATTTTATGACCTTATTGTGTTGTAAGTGCTGTAAAACGCTTACTAAAACTTGTTTAACTCAGCTAGTTTTCACTTTCTGCATGCTTGTCTTTCACTTATGTGACTGGTTTTTTTCTTTGTGTGTGTGTGTGTGTGGTGCAGACGTTGGAGGAAGAGAAGCAGAACGCGGGCGGAGACCTGCGGGAGGAGATGGAGACGTTGAAGAAGGAGCAGGACGACCTCTTGGTTCTGCTGGCCGACCAGGACGCCAAGATCGACAAGTACAAGACCAAGTTGAAGGAGCTCGGACAAGAGGTAGGGGGCGCTGCATATTTAGGGGGGGGGGGGTGTCCTTTATTGATTTTGCCATGAGAGCGGTTTTGGCGGGTGCTCTGGTGTGGTTTTCTCCTTTTTTCCTAAAAAAAATCTGTTAGTGGGTGGTTGGCGGGTGTTCTGGTGTGGTTTTCTCCTTCTTTTCTATAAAAAATCTCTGTTAGTGGGTGGTTGGCAGGTGCTCTGGTGTGGTTTTCTCCTTCTTTCCTATAAAAAATCTCTGTCAGTGGGTGGTTGGCGGGTGCTCTGGTGTGGTTTGCTCCTTCTCTCCTATTAAACATCTTTATCTCCCGTCCTTTTTTGTTTATGTTACTCTCTTGTAACACCTCTAATCTTTGGCACTTAAATGACCTCATTGTATTGCAAGTTATTTCAAAAATTAGACACTCAGTAATCCGAGAAATGGTGGGCACAAGTTAAATGAGAGTCATGCGTCACATCCAACACCAAAGAATCACAACATGCGTACATAAAACAATTTGATGGCAACAAGGCTAGAGGGCAACCGAGGAAGACCTGGATAGATGGAGTCAGGGAAATATTAACCACCTGCGACACCCAAAAGGGTAGAAGCGGCGGGCAACAGTAAAGTAAAGTAAAGTATTGCAAGTGCAGTAAAACTCTTATGAAACCCCCCCCCCCCAAAACATCTGTCGTTCTTGTCTACCATCCTTTTCTTTGTATGTTGCTCTCCAGTAAAACCTCTAATCTTTGGCACTAAAATGACTATTTGTGTTGCAAGTGTATTAAAACTCTTACTTAAATCTAAAACCTCGACACAGGTTCTGTTGTAGATAAACATTTTGGAGAGTTAAGACGTGTGTGTTGGTGGTTGGTGGGTGCTCTGGTGTGGTTTGCTCCTTCTTTCCTATCAAACATTTTGTGGTGTTGGTGGCCTAGTGGTTAGGCTCATCATCATCCAGTGCCAGATCTGCGACAGACATCGGCGATCATGGTTTTCCATTCTTTCCTTTGCTCGGATGCTCTCAAAAAAGCTACGTTTCCCTGATCTTTTCCTGTTACCCATTTGTTTAGGTTCCCTAAGTATGTTGTTCTGGGCCTACCCCTGCCTCGCTTGCCCTCAATTTTGCCAGTGAGAGCTAGATGTTCAAGACCCTTGTGGTTAGGCTACCGGACTCGTAATTGCGAGGTTGCGGGTTCCGGGATTCGAGTCTTGGGGACCAACGTTGTGTCCTTGGGAAGGGCTCTTTACACAAATTATCCTCACTTCACCCAGGTGGGAATGGGTACCTGGCCATACACAGCGAAAGATCTTGTCAGCATGTTAGTGTTTTAGCACCTGTAAATGGCTGCTTGCACTGTATGCTTCCTAGGAAGTTGAGGTTGTTTCAGAATGCTCTCTGGTCTGCTAGAGTAATAATAGTATATATTGTGAAGCGCATAGAGCTTGCTTTTGAGCGGGGATTTACGCTATACAAAATGATATCTATTATTATTATTTTTGATGTAGCGTTCTCACTTTAACCATAATGCCATCTCTTTTCAGGTTGAGGACGACGACGATGATGATGATCTAGATGACGATGATGATGACGATGATGAGGGAGATGCTGACTGATCTAGAGGACAATAGTGATAACCAATTTATGCCAAGTTTTGAGCGTGTGTTGTATAATTTTGAATGCCGACGTTGAGGTTGTCTGAAAAGTTTGAGCTGGATATTGTTGTGGCTGTGGGTAATGCTGGAGACTTTTGACAACTCTCTACCCGAAGACTTGATTCTACCCGAAGACAGGATTACCGCATGCTTTAGTTTGTCTTGCCAGCTTGCTTTGTCCGATAAACACTGCGGCAAAAGTGCCAGAAGTCTTTTGGTTTCAGATTCTCTGACAGGTTGCTTTTTGGCTTTATGATTATGATTTGTGCTTAATGTGGATACTAATTTGTCGTTTTTTCTTTTTCTTTTTGCAGAGAAAAAAAGGGAACTCATGTTGGATGGATGTAATAGTTTTTTTTCAAAAGTTATGATCATGTGGCTTTTAAAAAATTAGGTCTAATATCAGTATCCACGATGAAAAATAAAAGTTCACATTAGATAAATTTTGTTAGAAAGTAAGAGGTATTTAGGTTCTTCATAGTTTAAACCTGGGGTGATGATGAGTTGGAAGGTGACTATAAATGACATTTTCTTTAAAAGAAAAGGAACAATAAAGGAAAGTGTGAAGGGTGAATGATGATCTGTGAGTGTGAGTGGTGAAACAAGATACTGCCAGAATGCTTGGTTCCCTTTGCTTGTGGAGGAAATTATGGAGGCATTCATAATACGCTGCAATATCTCTATGTTTGTTTAATTAAGTACTGTTGTATGTGTGGATACTTATAATATAAGCCTGAATGACTGTGTTTATATACTTTGCTTCTTTTGATCATTCAGTGCTTTTGTAGGCCTGTGTTTTCCCCTGAAGATATTCCCTGTCCCCTTTTGGTTTGTGGAGTTTTCCTTCCCCTTGTTGATTTGCTTGGCAAAGTGTGCTTGGAGTTGTGAGAATGGTGAAGCGTGAGGAAGAAGCAATTCTGTCTGATCATTTTATTAAGGAAAATAAACATTTTTATGTTGTCCACGTAGACTTTTCCTCCTCGGTTTTTCTCTGGATTTTTTTGTTTTGTTGCCAGAGCTTTTAGCTTCTTACACAAAGACAGCAAGACTCAGCTTTGGTGTACCTGTGATTGGTGGCGTCTCCGTGTACATTCTGTCTATGGAGATGTCAGTGAGGAAGACCGTTGTGTTCCTTCCCTAGTTTTGGCGGGTGTTTTCCTTGTCTACCCTCCCAGTCCTACCGATAACCATTTTGTTCTCCTACCAGTAGCCATGGTTTTACATCTCATGACAACAGATTTTTCAAGTTTTGAATCCTTTTTTTGTTTCTTGTTCCTTGTAAGAACGCAAGTCTCCCTCAGTGAATTACCATCAGTCATTGCATTGCATATATGTGTCACGACGCGGTGGAATCAGGCGCTCGTCAATTTTCGGGCATGTGGAGTTATTGGTATCATCTTAAAGCTAGTTCAATTGTCTTGATAACGCTGAAAAAAATGCCCATATATCTTGAATAGAAGTCAAGATATTTGATATTGATGAAAGTTGGGTTGCCTGGTTTCAAAGGTAGAATTAACGAGAAAATGGCCACCAAAGTTTGGTTATTTCCATAACTTGATAGTCCGTGGAAACTGAAAACTTACATTTTTGTGCCTTTAATCAATGTTTTTCCTGTAAAAATCCACCCAGAAATGTGTTCTTAAATGGACAACAATGGTTTTAAGCTGAAAAAGAAAAATTCGATAAAAATTACCAAAGTGGCAGAAAAATGCCAGTTTCTTCAATTTCATTATTTTGACGAGCGCCTGATTTCACCACGTTGCATCACATATGTGCATTTGGACATTTCATTGCATTCAGATATAGCATTACATTTACTTTTGGCATTTATATTTTTAAATCTGTGTTTTGTTGTTCAATTGTAAAAGAGATTTTCTGCTCTGTATGGAATAGTTTTGTCACAAGGTCAGAAGTTCACCAGTCATTCTTTACAAAAACAAAGCAGTGGTTTGAACGCTCTGTTTGGTCGTCAGTGCGGGTTGTCTGTGAGATGACTGTCAATCAGAAGAAGTTCCAATAGATAAATTGGCCCCTGGTGTTGGTAAAACTGTGATTTGATCTCTTGTGTAACCCCTTCATTTTCAACCATATATGATATTTACAATACGTAGACGGACAGTTTGTTTGCATTAATTATTTCGAAACCATTTATAACTTTTTATAGACAGTCATTTGGAATTTGAAAGAGGGGACTGTTTTTGAGAAGTTCTTTGATGTTTCTGTCTAATTTTTTCAATTGTTGAATATCGTACTCAATGCAAAAGCTGAATAGTAGGGACTGGAAATATGACTGATGGTGCGGAGAGTTCACGTTTGGACGATTCTGTGCAGCCATGTTGGAGTTCCTCATGCACTCTGAAAATATTCTCTGTTTGTGTGGGTTGTACCATGGTGAACTCTGATCTCTCTGCACTGCTGAAATAGGGATATGATTGCCAAAGGTTTTCAATTTGCTTGATGAGTGAATACTTTGGATAAGTCGCTGTTTGTGAAATATTTTCTTGTCGCTGTTTGTGAAATATTTTCTATCCTTGTCCTTTTTCCTTTTTTTTTTCTTATCTCTGTGTGCCTTGCTAAAGGTTATGAAGTGACACTGTAGGTTCTAAGGGGAATGTAGGAGATAAGCGTAGGTTAAGGGCATGACTCACTGCTAAGAGCTAACTGTGTGACTCACTCACAAAAGTTATTGAGACTTAACTCTTTATTTCTGAGGGAGGGCAAACCCACTCTCCCGGGCCCTTTATTCAGTACTAAATCTACAAATGACAAACACGTCACTAAATTGGTTATTAAATCAAAACAAGTGAACCTATTTTGATAGTTCTTCATCTAACGAATGAAATTCCGATAAAAGAGACCAGTTTTCGGTAAATGCTAAAAAGTAGGTTGATGTCGAAGTCGTCGTAAAGGAATGTGCCCAAGCTGCTGTCGGTGGCGCACTGGCACAGTGGTTCCGACTGCGAGCCGCTGGTTAAGAGTTTCAAATGTGACTCAATATCGCACAGTGGGACTCAAGTACTTTCAATTAGAGCTGTACCCCGGTAGCAAACCCGTTCGTGCTCGCAAGCCCCTAGTTCAAGTCACAAGCCTCAAATCGCTAGGTCAAATCATATCAAATCACCAGCATGATAAGTTGAGTCTAGTCAAGTTCACACCAACTAGCAATCTGCGAAGCCACTCGTGTCAGACCCCACTCATCCTCCCCACCCTGCTTGCAATCCGCGAAGCCACTTACATCAGAAAAAGAGAGAGGGAGAGAGAGAGACCCCGCTCACAATGTCACTGCACAGCGGGACCACACTAGAGCTGGAGTCTGCTCAATTAATCGAAGGCTTGCTAGCAGCGGACGGCCGCCAAGTCTCAAATCTCACTCGCAGCACAGCAAGACACTCGAGTCCTATGATTTGATTTGTCTGCTCGCAACCTGACAAGACTGTCTGCGAGTCACAACACACCGGAAGTTCCACCCGGTAGCGAGCGGGAGGCAAAGCAAAGCACAAGCCTGCTTACAAGCCTCTGGCGCAAGCCGTCCACGGCTCGCAAGCATTCGATTAATCGAGCAGACTCCAGCTCTACTTTCAATACCTCATGCTGTGACTCAAGAGCTCCGTGGAAGTTACACCGTGACTCTGGTGTGACTCCTGAGGTCCCAAGAAGTGTAGAATGCTAGTCTACGAGGAGCTCTAAAGCTTCTGTCAATCACACAATATTTCTGTCGCTGATGGTTGCCAAGTAACCAGTGAGAGATGGGCAATCCAAGTGGTGGACAGTGTACCTTTCCCAAGGACAAACTTCCTACCGGGCTGTCCTGGGAATGGAACCCGAGATGTTATAATTGCAACTTAAATGTCTTTCTGGTGAAACGAGAGCAACATAACTTTCAAGTGCTTGTAAGAGGTTCCTGATTGGACAAAGAACGTGTATATACTTAGACCAGCCTGAGTGTTTACCTACCTTTGATGATTATTGCATGAGGGAAGCATAAGGACCGAGTGCATTATGTTGGCTGTTCTTATAGTCTTCATAGCACCTTCAAAACAATGATGTGGAGAAATGCTTTTTTTTTTTCAAATTACTTTTTACTATGCGAATAGCGTTAGTGTAAATGAGGTAACTTGACAAGAAAAGAATGTGGTACCTGTGTGCTATCCTAATGTGAGAAAGATGTAGAATCTGATTTGACAGCATGTATGAGTTCGCAGAGATTTGTGAATCTATATCAGACTCGGTACTGTTGATTGTGGCAGTACACCACTATAATGTCTTGTTCATCAGTTATCAATCATGTTGATACCAAGTAGAGAGAATGTTTATTGATCACTGTCACTTGTACTGTAAATATATTTAAATACAGTAACTAAAACTAACATGAAGATTTGACCTTGTTTTTTCTTAAATATGTGTGTTTTGTGTTTCTGCAGTCTGTCCTCACCCTTACTATCATTATTTTTCCTCTACTTCTTTTGTATGTTTGTCACTCGTTTGTGAACTGTGAACTGCTATTTCCGGGGTGCCTTGATAATCGAAGCAGACTTTGTGCTGTTAAGGCTAGAACGGTGAGCAGAGTAAACCTCATTCCCCTTTTGGACTTCTCTGTTGACATTCACTCCTTGGCGCTCATATGACCTTATGCTGCTGCGAGTGCTGAAAACCTTACTAAAACTAAACAGAACATAGTTGTGGAGCGAACAGTGGAGTACCGTTAAAACCTGCTCTTAGTTAAGTTTTAGTTGAGGTTTTGCCGGGCTCGCAACTACATAAGGTCATATGAGCACCAAGGGGTGGATGTCAACAGAGAAGTCCTTTCAGGGAATCAGACTTACTCTGTTCACCACTCTAGCTTCAAAGCACAAAGTCTGCTTCAACTGTCAAGGCACCCCTGAAATAGCAGGTCACACGAGCGTGACAAACATACAAAAGAAGTAGAGGAAAAAAGACGATAGTAAGGATTAGGAAAGAAAGAGCAGCAGTTCCCTGTTGCAGTTCAGGCACAGTTATGAGCATGACATAGATGAATCAGTCCATTTACAATTCTACTGTGCATATGGACAGGTTAATGTCATTTGGGAATGGCCTAAAGACACTTCTGTCAGCAGCACTGTTCCAGGGGGTAAAACCTGCTCTAACGGCCACACACTCGAGACAACCCCCTGTACAAACAGCATTTCCCACTTCCTCAACTTGTGGGTTTTTTTCTATATTATAACACCCCTGATCTTCTGGTAGGAAAGATCTACACCTAGCCTTCTCGGACAATGGCGAAAAATCTCGGAGGTCCTGTCTGCAAATTGCGCACGTTAAAGATCCGTCGTTGGTGGTCTAAAATCGAGAAAAGTCAAGAGTAGGCTTCGGACGTCACCCGGGGAAAATTCAAAATTTCCTACAATTGAAAATGTTTGGTGTTCTTGCGCGCTCATGTGACCTTATGCAGTTGCAAGCGCTGTGAAACACTTACCAACCCCCCTCCCCAATATAAAACAAAAACAACCTATATTATGATACTTCCCTAGAAGACCACCTATCTAAGATAATCACTTTTCTCCTTGACAGTGGGTTGTTGTGTAGGACAGGTACAACAGTACTCACTGACCTGTTCAGGGTGTAGTGAGGTCAGACTTCCTGAGACCAGCAGAGTTTTGTTAGTTTTAGTAGAGGTTTTTCGGCGCTCGCAACTGCATAAGGTCATATGAGCACCATGAGTTCAGTTAGCCACGTTCACCAGTGTGGCATCAGGGGTCTAAAGGTTAGGCTGTTGGGCTCACAACTGAAGGTTGTGGGTTCGAACCCTGTCAGAGGCCTCCTGTCATGTCCACTGGACAGGCTCTTTACATGAATTTTCCTCACTTTCACTCAGGTGGGAATGGGTACCCAGCAAAAGGCAGCAAAAGATCTTGTCAGTTTATTTTGTTAGTGTTTTCAGCACTTAATCAGCTGTTTGCACTGTACGATTCCCAGGAAGCAAGAACATTTCTGAAGGTTCTATCATCTGCCATGGTAATAATGTAGGTTGTAAAGCACATATGTGCAATGCAAATGCTAATTACTATTATAATTATTAATGATAACGTAAAAAGAGGCTTGAAGAGGAAGACATTCCATAACAAGTTTATTGATAATGCTTGGTAAATCTGCTACAAAAGTTTCGATGAAGGTTTGAGCCACTAAAAAAAATCAACATCGTCAGTTCTTCTGATGCCCATTCCTACTTCTTTTTTCCTAAAACAGCTGGATTTAAGAAAGGTCTTTTTTTATACTGATAAAGATTTTGAAAACATACAAGAAGGAGAGGTCACTACATTCACCAGATCTTTTAACCAAGCAAAACGAAAGGTTTCTGATCAACATTGAATAAACATAAATTATAAAACATATATAAATATCACACTAAAGTGTTGTACAAAATGGAAGAGAAAAGCTCAAAGTTATCTCGTTTTATCCTTGTTCTTCATATAATCATAATGTGTTGCAGAAGAATGCAAGTGGCAAAGAAGTAGTCTAGTCACTTCTGAAGGGATATATAAGTTGGAAGTTGGTTATTTTATCCACAGACATTTTGTCTTTGAACTTTTGATTTTCAGACTGACAAACTTTGTAGAGGCAATGTTAGCCCTTACATTAATATTCAGCTTTAACCTTTGAACTTTTCAGTGTTTTACCCCAAATTTTGGTACCATGTGTCTATCAGAATTATGAGTCTTTGTAGTTCAAACTATGTCATAAGATTAAGTCATATGACATTCAGATGCACGGAAGAATTTCAAAGATACATAGATTGAAACACTCCAAACATAATTTTGATTGAAACCGAAATGGACAACAATCCTTTTACAACTTATGTGCACTTTGACATATTTTTCAATTGTAATTTCCAAAGCAACATCAAATTTTTTCAGTTCTTATCCAGCTGCAAGTTTTGAGAGTATTGTACTAAATGAGCAGACCAAGCAAGGCAAACTATTACTTGCGCCATTTTCTTCACATTGCAAAATGCTTATTTTTCGTACTGGTTATAACTTCATCTGTCATTATATGGTATCAACATAGTAAACGACAGTGTCCTTCTCTTGTGTCGCCATCTTGGTCCAGCCTCTGACCTTAGGCAGAGTGGGTCATGTAAGGATTTTTGTACCGAAGACCCCTGCAAAAGTTGTGGACACGTGTTTGACAGTGATGACATTTGTATCATACCACACTACAAGAATGAATGCTTCAGTGCTGCATAGGGTTAAAATGCACTCGATTTAATTCATAGAGTTCTACTGGCTTTTTGCATTTGCTATAAAACATTTATCGTTGTTCCTCTCCACTCAATTCAGTCTAGTCATATGTATACAAAACATCAAAATATCACAGACGTAACATGCTAAATTAAAGTCAGGGTGCCACTTACATAGTCATTATAATGTTTATCGAAACAGGCATGTTGATGCTTCAGAAGAATCAGGGACTGGACATTTTCAGCAGTAAGTTCACTTTGGCACTGTGGCATATTATGCACATTTTGTTGTTTTTTACATTTCAAAACTGATCTATCTATGCTTTAATAAAAAGGCTGAAATTACAGATGCTCCAAATATTCCACCTGAATTCCTTTGAAAGTCTACAGAATCTTAATATTTTAGAATCACAGTTTACCTGATGATTTCTTTCTCTTTAAGATAATATGTGAATCCTTTTTACATTTGCTTTATCAATCACATCCATCTTTCTTGTTTGAATAGTTCTAGTTGTCCGTTTTATTTGTTTGGAGCTTATTCCTCTGAGAACTGAGTATCCCTCTGGGTACAGCATGCAGTAGAGTTCTGGCATGAAAAATACTGAAAGCCACACCACAAACATATCACCCAAGGCACCCATAAATCTATCAGAAATATGAGTAGAAAGTTTAAATATTTAGCAAAAAGACCATAAAGTTCAACAAGAAAAGACAATCGTTTCACAGTGTGATATGAACAGGGGCACACGTGTATGTGAAAAAAACAGAAAACATACATTTGTGGTACATAATATACCAACTGGCTATGGAAAAAGCAGTTTATGATACACATTAGAATCCATATTGGGGGTGAAAAACGTTCTCTTTTTATGTACATGTTTATCATAAATATAACTTTTTTTAAAGTTACGGTGTCATAAGATAGCAAAAATGTTCACACTTCAAGATTAGGCAGGGTTTTGTCAGAGGGTGTAAATTATTCAGAAACAGTTTAAATCAACAGTAAAAACACAATATGAAAATGTATGTCCAAGAACGTACGGAATACCCACGTTACACTTCATGCAAGTGGCTGCTACACCTCCTAGAAAACTTACGCTTTCCATTTCTCAATGGCAAAAACATTTCAGAAAAGTAATACACTCGTCTTCTTCCTCTGCTTTTGGCAATCACTCAGAACAGAAAGAGTCAAGGACAAAGATCCGAAATAATTGGAAGAAATGAGTTACCTAGGATGATAGAAAGGAAAAAGTAGTTGAGGTGGAAAGGATTCGGAACAACTGTTATATCTACTGATTGCTTCACCGGCTAGAAAAGGTGTGGCATTCAATTTCCGTTTCTATCCCATAATCCTCCACCAAGAAATCGAAAGTCAGCATCGGGAGGAACAGGAGATGGAAACATAAAGTCAGAATGCTGAGACGGTCAACGAAAAGGAAACACAACTATCAAAAGTTATTGTACATGAAGTTTGCATGCATATCACATTCACAAAAGACAATATCTCGTGGGTTTGAAGACCTTCCCCATTAATCCCTCTATCAGTATTCCAATGCTGACAGAACAATTTGTTTAGTAAGAAAAAAAAATTAAACCTCACAGAAAAATTATCTTTTGGTACAGCAGGGGCTTGTAAAGAGATAATTAAGACTAAATTTTCTTTCTTTGCTGCGCATAAACCTCTGTTATGAAAATGTTTTTGCCCTCTTGGTCTAGGATTTTTTCATTGACTCACAGTTGAATGTTGCGATAGCTATATCTACACACCTTTCTACTACATTTCCCAACCATATCTTTCCTTCACAATTTACCTCTGTGGCAGATGAAATAATACTGTTTCTATACCACAGTCGTAGATTATGATCAATACAGAGAAATGTCATCTTCTCCTCCATATCACTAATAGCGTAAACATTATTGAGCGAAAAATATTTCATAATTAGTAGAAAAAGCCGCCAAATTTGCAGGGTTTTTTTTTTTAGCTTAGGATCAGTGCTTTCTTGATAACAGTTTACTAGAAAACCACCACTATAAAAGCTTTTTCTTCCACAATGTGGCCAAAGTCAAACAAAGAGGCCTACAATTTAAAAAAAGATTGTTTTACAATGTAGGTCGGCCTACATTCCCCTTTGGGTTGCTAACAAATGTGGGGAAAAAATCCCTTGGCTAACCATTTTTACGTATGCAACAAGAAGGTCATGAGTTAAATTTCTTCTAAACCCAAGCCACTGCGAGGAAGAAAGCTGTACACCGTTAAATTATGGAACCTAAGTGGCTCAAATATAGTGGATATTTTCTTTCTGTCCTTCAGTTCTGTTTATAAGATTATAAGGATAAAGCCTTTGGCATTCCAAATACATTGTGTTGTTATTATGTCGCACGTATGACAAAACAAAGCGAGTGCAGACACAAGCAAATCCACAAGAGAGGACTGGTGAGGAGGTGGCCGAGGGGTGTGTCGGGAGGCAACTGCACACATCAAAGGACCGTCACTGACCGGTAGTTGGTGATGTTCACAGACCTGTGGAAGGGACGAAAGATGAGGACGGTGGGGTTGTGTCAGGTGTTGGGAGGTGGGAAATGTTGCAAAGACAGATTGTAACAGTTGATGATTGCACAGAGCATGCTGAAGAGCGTGGATATGCACTATATAGGTACACTTATGATGATGATGATGATGATGATGATGATATTATTATTATTATTATAATCTTTATTATTATTATTATCATTATTATTCACTGTTCAGCATGATTATTGATAGCAAGAAGGAGTATCATTAGTTCTCTACCCTGAAAATGAAACTGTCATACAACGATGAAACTTAGAAAATATAATGTATAAGAAAAAATTGGGAATCTGAAAATTTGAATCACAACGCGGTAGAATCAGGTGCTCGTCAATTTTTGGGCATCTAGAGTTATTGGTATCATCTTAAAGCTTGTTCGTTTGACCACCTTTTAATTTAAAAAAAAATACATGCCTTTCTTGAATAGAAGAGAAGATGTTTGCTATTGAAGAAGGTGGGGGTTGCCTGGTTTCAGAGGTTACATTAGCGAGAAAATGGCCGCCAAAGTTTGGTGATTTCCAAAGTCTGAGAGTTCTTGGAAACTGAAAATTTAAAATTTACTCTGCCTTTGATCAATATTTTTCAATAAAATCCACACAGAAATATGTTTCAAATTGACGTACAAGGTGTTGAGCAAAAAAAAAAAAAAAAAGAGAAAAAAATGGTCAAACTAGAGGAAAATGCTGATATCTTCGATTTCATTATTTTGACGAGAGCCTGATTTCATCATGATGCCTCACATTCGTTCTCCGTATGTGTGTTTGACTATGTGGGTGCACGACTGTATGTTTGTTCTCTTTGATCTCGAGCACATACCTGACCACATTCTGGTTGACGATAGATTTGCATGGTGTGGTCTTGGGCCCCTGTGATGGCATGAAGATCCTGCCGCTCTTGTTCACCACGTTGACTGGACGCTTGTCTTTGATGCCGTACGGGTCCTTCGATTTGAGAGGGTACGGCTCAAATGTACCAGCCTTCATGCCACCCATCTGTTGAATAAGAAAGAAAAAAATAAGTCTTAACAATGAAGAAATATTGGTGTAATTCCTCAATATTCAAATTGTGGTCCGAAAATACTTTCAACGAATTCTTACTGCAGATCTGAAATACAGTTGAACCTGCTGTTATTGCCACCCGTCCAAGACAATCGTCCACACACACACACTCACAAACACCCATACAACCACCCACACACACATTCATTGAAACAGACATGTGGTAACATCTTTAAACACCTCTAAGTAAGACATATCTCAGATAGGTATTCAGAAACATCCTCTGAAAAAATCCCCAACAACTCAGCCGTCAACATTCCCTGTCGTCACTCACCACTTTCCCGGGGTTGCTAGGTCTGAACGGTGGACCGACATCCTTCTTGGTAACGTCTGCCGATTTTCTCAAGGGCGGGAGAGGTTTGTCCGTCCTGTAAGGGTTGCCGTCAAAGTAGTCGGAAGGGTGCATGTTGAGGTGGAAGGCGCCTGCCTTCAGCTGGGCCTTATGTTGAGCAACTTCTTTCTGATATGCAGATTCAAATTTTTTTTTTAATAAGCTCACAGACACCAAAACATCTTCAATCAAAAGACACATCTTTTTGAATATATATGTACTAAAACTATATTATTTAAAATGCTATGAAACAACTCAATGTATTAATGTACTTGCATTGAGTAACCTACCTTTGAAATTTGCTGTTCTTATTTTTCATATTTAGCTCACTGACTTCAAAAAGATTTTCCGAGAGGAGACTACCTTAAAACCTACTTGATTCAATGTTCAATAAAGATATTAGTAAAATAAATAAGTAAACATTCATAACTTTTTTTCCCTACCATTTCCTCTTTCTATAACCCCATCTCTTTACCTCCTTTGTTTAATCTAGAACCTAGTGACGTCAATGCACTTACAAATTGGCATAGCTAAAAGGCAAAACCAAAACAAAAATGCACTGGCCGTAAAAAAATAAGCATGCATGGCAAGTTTTACCTTTATTAGATGACAAATAGCCTAGTTAAACAGTTTTTTCTATAGATCTCTAAAGTAGCAAAAATTAGTTGTGCCATTTTGCTAGCGCATGACGATATGATACTTCTACTAAACCAGATTGCAAAGAATTATGAACACATTTTTGAAGAAAACACTCATCTGGAATTCAGTCTAGAAAAATGAGCCAAATTGTACACGTTAAACACCCATTGCAACACTGGAAGTTTATTTAAGTGGTGAGACCTCCAAGTTTAACATCCATCTCCAATACGACCGAGCTAAATGGGAAATATTTCCCCATCCAAATTTGTACAAAGTGTCTTTCCCCAAGGACACAATGTCGAACCAACTGAGCCTCAAAAATGCAAACCCACAATCTCCAGTAGGCTAACCACTAGATAACTGATGCTACTCCTCAAACTATGGAAGAAAATCATGCTCTTGCGATGTCTTTACTGACCCCAGGCTCCACACAAAGAAGTACCCAAGTCTGTTTTGTTCTTTCAAGATCATTTGACTTTCTTGTCAGATTTTGTGTTCACCCCGTTCATTTCTACTCCTCTAGTTCCACTCACTCAGAATAGGTTACTAGTGTTTTAAGCAATTCATCATTGGTGAACGAACCTGTGATCAGTATTTAGCTTATTTCTGTCATAACCATTCAGATCATCTAAGAAAATTATGAATTGTATCGCAGATTGCAAAGAATCATGAACACGTTTTTGAAGAAAACACTCATCTGGAATTCAGTCAAGAAAAATGAGCCAAATTGTACATGTTAAACACCCATTGCAACACTGGAAGGTTATTTAAGTGGTGAGACCTCCAAGTTTGGGCTAA